GGTGAAGGGTTTAGGAATTTAATAAACCCTTTTCATCGGGTTTATTATTCTACGAATTTTTTTTACAGTGAAGTGACATAATAGCAAAAGGATTTGTTTTGTGTAAAAATTTACCAATAAAAAAAACGTTAGCGGATAACAGTGTTGATAACGAACAGGGTGTGGGTGGGTGCAGTTATGGGTGAGTGTAGGTGTGTAAGTGTGGCTGCGGGTGTGGGCGTCGGTGTTGTCTTTGCCCATATTCACACCTACATCCACCCGCACTCACATCCGATACCCGCACCTTCAAGAGAAGTCTTACATCCACACCCACAGGCACACTTCACACCCACACCCACACTCACAGCTCACACTCAACCTCACATCCACACCTCAGACTCCGCACACCCATACCTACACCCCACTGTAAGCTGGTGAGTGGTAAGGGCCAGCTACGGTCAGACCGGGTCCGGGCAAGTACCGATTATCCGTAGACCTGGTTACGGTGGGCGAGTCCCAGTAAGAAACGGTTATCGATTAGACCGGTTATCATCACGGATGTATCTATACTGAGTACCCAGTCGTTCAGTCGCGACTGGAACTAGTCTATTCCTAGATTTTGAGTGATTCAAAGCCCAAATGGATCACTGTGATGCAAGCGGTATCAACAGGAGAAGTAAAAAAAGATTGTTTTTGTCGCAGCACGAAGTTGGTTTCTTCCAAGCGAGAGATATGTGTGCCTCTTTGCTTGGTTTTTTTCTTGTACTTTCTCTTTTTATTTTACTTGATGTAATTTTTCATTTTTCTTATATTTTAAATCAAAGCGAGAACGATTTGTTTCTTCTAGATAGTGTGACGCATTAAAGTAAAATGCTTTCTGACCTCGATGCTAACTGCCAGCAGAAGCAGTATTACGACAATTTGAATATAAAATTATATTCTGGCTTCTCTCTCCTCAGTTTTGGATCGCAATCTTCGTTGCATTTAACACCGGAATCTGCAAAATTTATCTGGTACCAATTGTTACCGCGCTTGGTAAAAGACGTTCAATCTGATCCTCGTACAGTGAACAGTACTAATAACTCTCTCGATATTTTCGATAAGATTAGAAAGTATGTTGCTAAAGATGATGATAGTTGCGCACTGGATGAATTTCAGAAACAGTACAATCCGACGAATGCTGTCTATTGGTATACGAAAAATACATTTATCTACCGTCTTGTTAATAAAGCGATAAAAACACGTGATATTGATATTCTATATACTTTAAAATCACTTATTGTCGATCTACAAACCCAACTTGAACAGTTATCTACTGCTGCTCCGAAAAAGCTGGCATCATCGACAGTTACTCTATATCGAGGCGCTCGAATACGTTCAAATGAATTGGAACAATTAAAAGTTAATGTCGGTAGTTTTATTTCATTAAATACATTTACGTCAACTTCGCGAGAGCGAGATATTGCCTTGACCTATGCTGAAGCCTATTCATCCACTGACAACGATAGTGATGTTTATCCAATTATATATGAAATCAACTGTAGTGTTGGAATACACTCTGCCGTCTTTGCTGATGTTGAACAATATGGTACAAATCTAAATGAAAAGGAAGTCTTATTTGGTTTCTCAACTGTTTTTGAAATTACAAGTGTTGAATCGAAGGACGATATTTGGACCGTTAATTTATGTAATACAAATAAGCATACTCAGCTAATTGACCATTATCTCGATGTAGCGAAACATGAAATGAAAGAAAGTTCCTCAGAGCTGCTCTTTGGACGTCTCCTTTTATACTTAGGTGAATATAAAAGAGCTGGTACGTACGTTAAAGAAATTGCACCAATTCTACTTGGGGAGGATAAATATGAAAGTTTGGCACGATTTTGTTTTGACATTGGACGTCGATATTACCTAAATGGTGAAATTGATTTTGCTCTGGATACTTATTATTCAACCTTGAAGTATTCAACAAATCATACGCTTGTTGTATGTACACTATATACAATTGCTAATGTGTATTTTGAACGAAATGATTATGAGCGAGCACTTAATTATTATGAAAAAATACTTGAAAGTGAAAAGTCGTTGTATGACTGTGATAGTTTACCATCAGCAGTTTACACTGCAATTGGTATGATTTATCAAAGTACGAAAGAGTACGAAAAAGCACTATATCATTATAGAAAAGCAATGGAAATCGACTTGAACCACGACTCTTTAAGTCTAGCAAATTCGATGGACAATATAGCTTCAGTCTATGAACAGATGAATAGCTATAATACTGCACTAGACTATCATGTGAACGCACAAAAAATACGACTGAAAGTTGTACCTCCAAATCATATGTCTATTGCAACAAGTTTTCTTAATCTGGCATCTCTTTATACATTAGTTGGAGAAAAGAAACTGGCCTTGGAGTGTTATCTAAAAGTATTATATATTCAAAAGTTGAATTTACAAGAAAATCATGCGGAAATGAATGAAACAATAGCAAAGATCATTCATCTAGGATTTAGTGAAGGTAGGATAAATTTATACAGGGTGTTTCAAAAGTCACACTATGCTACAACAGCCTTGGATTTCTCCGCCATCTTTTGACCAAATGGGATGATATTTTTACCACTGATAAAGGAGTATTCATAGTTCATACTCATGAGAAGAATGTTGAAAAATACTACTTTGAAATATCACCACTAGCTCAATAAAGAACTATAGCCTTTCACCAGCTAGGAAAAAATATATGTATTGGTTCGCTGGTCAACAATAAACAGCACATCTAATTTTGTATTATACACAATATGTAGTGTGGAAGATTATTGAAGAAATGTAGAGAAATCAGATTTATCGTTTATGTTTGACCAGCGAACCAATACATATGTTTTTTCCTAGTTGGTGAAAGGCTATAGTTCTTTATTGAGCTAGTGGTGATATTTCAAAGTAGTATTTTTCAACGTTTTTCTCATGAGTATGAACCATGAATACTTCTTTATCAGTAGTAAAAATATCACCCCATTTGATCAAAAGATGGCGGAGAAATGCAAGGCTGTTGTAGTGCAGTGTGACTTTTGAAACACCCTGTAGAAGC